AGGGGGAGAGTGGGCAGCCTTGTCTAGTCCCTGATCTTAGTGGGATTGCTTCAAGTTTCTCTCCATTTAGCTTGATGTTGGCTACTGGTTTGCTGTAAATTGCTTTTACTATGTTTAGGTATGGGCCTTGAATTCCTGATCTTTCCAAGACTTTTATCATGAAGGGATGTTGAATTTTATCAAATGCTTTCTCAGCATCTAGTGAGATGATCATGTGGTTTTTTTCTTTGAGTTTGTTTATATAGTGGATTACATTGATGGATTTCTGAATATTGAACCATCCCTGCATTCCTGGGATAAAACCTACTTGATCATGATTGATGATTGTTTTGATGTGTTCTTGGATTCGGTTTGCTAGAATTTTATTGAGTATTTTTGCATCGATGTTCATAAGGGAGATTGGTCTGAAGTTCTCTTCTTTGTCGGGTCTTTGTGGGGTTTGGGTATGAGTGTAATTGTAGCTTCATAGAACGAATTGGGTAGTGTTCCTTCTGTTTCTATTTTGTGGAATAGTTTGAAGAGAATTGGTATTAGGTCTTCCTTGAAGGTCTGATAAAATTCAGCACTAAAACTATCTGGTCCTGGGCTTTTTTTAGTGGGGAGACTTTTAATGACTGCTGCTATTTCCCTAGGGGTTATGGGACTATTTAGATGGTTTATCTGCTCCTGGTTTAACTTTGGGACCTGGTATCTGTCTAGGAAATTGTCCATTTCATTCAGGTTTTCCAGTTTTGTTGAGTATAGGCCTTTGTAGTAGGATCTGATGATTTTGTGAATTTCTTCAGTTTCTGTTGTTATGTCTCCCTTTTCAGTTCTGATTTTATTAATTTGGATACTGTCTCTGTGCCCTCTGGTTAATCTGGCTAACGGTTTATCTATCTTATTGATTTTCTCAAAGAACCAACTCCTGGTTTTATTGATATTTTGTATTGTTCTTTCTGTTTCTATTTGGTTGATTTCAGCCCTGAGTTTATTTCCTGCCTTCTACTCCTCCTGGGTGTATTTGCTTCTTTTTGTTCTAGAGCTTTTAGTTGTGCAGTCAACTTGTTAGTGTGTGCTCTTTCCAGTTTCTTTTTGTAGGCACTTAGAGCTATGAGCTTTCCTCTTAGCACTGCCTTCATGGAGTCCCACAAGTTTTGGTATGATGTGTCCTCATTTTCATTGAAATCTAAAAAGTCTTTAATTTCTTTCTTTATTTCTTCCTTGACCAAGTCATCATTGAGTAGAGAGTTGTTCAGTTTCCATGTGCACGTGGGTTTTCCATTGGTTTTGTCATTATTAAAGACCAGTTTTATTCCGTGGTGATCTGATAAGATGCAAGGGATTATTTCAATCTTTTTGTATTTGTAGAGGCCTGCTTTGTGACCAATTATATGGTCTATTTTGGAGAAGGTACCATGAGGTGCTGAGAAAAAGGTATATTCTTTTGTTTTAGGATGAAATGTTCTATAGATGTCTGTTAAGTCCATTTGGTTCATAACTTCTGTTAATGTCAAAGTGTCTCGGTTTAGTTTTTGTTTCCATGATCTGTCCATTGCTGAGAGTGGGGTGTTGAAATCCCCCACTATTATTGTGTGAGGTGTAATGTGTGTTTTGAGCTTAAGTAAAGTTTCTTTTATATATGTAGGTGCCCTTGAATTTGGAGCATAGATGTTCAGAATTGAGAGTTCACCTTGGTAGATTTTTCCTTTGATGAGTATGAAGTGTCCTTCCTTATCTTTTTTGATTAATTTTGGATGAAAGTCGATTTTATTTGATATTAGAATGGCTACTCCCGCTTGTTTCTTGGGACCATTGGCTTGGAAAATTGTTTTCCACCCTTTTATTCTGAGGTAGTGTCTGTCTTCGTCACTGAGGTGCGTTTCTTGTATGCAGCAAAATTCTGGGTCTTGTTTGTGTATCCAGTCTGATAGTCTGCGTCTTTTTATTGGGGAATTGAGACCATTGATGTTAAGAGATATTAAGGAAAAATGATTGTGGCTTCCTGTTATTTTTGCTATTAGAGGTAAAGTTATGTTTGTATAGTTATCTTCTTTTGGGGTTGTTGGAAGATTATTTCCTTGCTTTTTCTAGGTTGTAGTTTCCCTCCTTGTGTTGGCATTTTCCATCAATTATCCTTTGAAGTGCTGGGTTTGTGGGAAGATATTGTGCAAATTTGGTTTTGTCATGGAATATCTTGGTTTCACCATCTATAGTGATTGAGAGTTTTGCTGGGTATAGTAATCTGGGCTGGCAATTGTGTTCTCTTAGGGTCTGTATGATGTCCGTCCAGTCTCTTCTGGCTTTTATAGTCTCTGGTGAAAAGTCTGGTGTAATTCTTATAGGTCTGCCTTTGTATGTTACTTGACCTTTTTCCCTTACTGCTTTTAGTATTTTTTCTTTGTTTTGTGCATCTGATGTTTTGATTATTATGTGACGGGAGGTATTTCTTTTCTGGTCTATTCTATTTGGTGTTCTGTAGGCTTCTTGTATGTTTATGGGCATCTTGTTCTTTAGGTTAGGGAAGTTCTCCTCAATAATTTTGTTGAAGATATTTACTGTCCCTTTAAGTTGGGACTCTTCATTCTCATCTATACCTATTATCCTTAGGTTTGGTCTTCTCATTGTGTCCTGGATTTCCTGGATGTTTTGAGTTAGGAGTTTTTTGCATTTTGCATTTTCTTTGACAACTGTGTCAATATTTTCTACTGTATCTTCTGCATTTGAGATTCTCTCTTCTATCTCTTGTATTCGGTTGGTGATGCTTGCGTCTATGACTCCTGATCTCTTTCTTAGGTTTTCTATCTCCATGGTTGTCTCCCTTTGAGCTTTCTTTATTGTTTCTATTTCCATTTTCAGATCCTGAATGTTTTTGTTTAATTCCTTCTTTGTGTTTTCTTGCATTTCCTTAAGGGATTTCTGTGATTCCTCTTTAAGGGCTTCTATCTGTTTACTTGTACTCTCCTGTATTTCTTTAAGGGAGTTACTTAATTCCTTCTTATAATCCTCTATCATCATCATGAGAAGTGATTTTAATTCTGAATCCTGCTTTTCAGGTGTGATGGGGTGTTCTGGGCTTGCTATATTGGGAGAACTGGGTACTGATGATGCCAAGAAACTTTGGTTTCTGTTGCTTATGTTCTTGCGCTTGCCTTTCGCCATCTGGTTAACTCTAGTGTTGCCTGCCCTCACTGTGTAAGACTGGAGTCTGTATTTCCAGTTATCTTGCTTGTTGCAGAGCTTCTCAGATCCAGATGTCTCTGTAGTCTTATGATCCTAATCTTGCTGTCTGCTGCTCTGAGTGCAGTGGCTCCTCTAGGATGACTCAGGAGTCAGTATCTCCACAGGACAGGAGTAGATCAACTCAGTGTCAGCTGCTCTGAGTACAGTGGCTCCTCGGCTGCTCTGAGTGCAGAGGCTCCTCTAGGATGACTCAGTCAGTATCTCCACAGGACAGGAGCGGACCAACTCTGTGTCTGTCCCAGCCCACAGGACCAGGCAGGGGAGGAAGGGAAGTGGAATTCCGGAGGGGCGGGGTTTGGGTAGCTGCTGTGCCCAAAAGGCCCTGGGTCCCAGATGTATCTCTGGGGCTTAGGGAGTGAGATGGAGTTCTTACCGGCTGCTCTGAGTGCAGTGGCTCCTCTAGGATGACTCAGGAGTCAGTATCTCCACAGGACAGGAGCAGACCAACTCTGTGTCTGCCCCAGCCCACAGGACCAGGCAGGGGAGCGTCTACCAGCATCTTATTATCAGAAAGTGCCCAGTGACCAGGGTGCCATATACTTGTTATCCCAGCACTGGGGAGACTGGGACAGGAGGATTTCGGAGAGTTTGAGGTTAGCCTGGGTTGTATCATGTGTTTAAGAGTCCAAGCACAGCCTGGGATACAGAAAGAAAGGCTGTCTTTAAAGAAAAAAAAATCCCTTAATCCCAGCTCTTGGGAGATAGGGGCAGGTAGAGCTTTGAGTTTGAGGCTAGCCTGAACTAAAGGGAGAGTTATGGGACAGCCGAGGCTGCACAGAGAAACCTGGGCATGAAATTGGGGTGTGTACTCTCTCCACAAAAAGAGATCCCCACTTTCCTCCAGCACTTAGACCCCAGGACCTGCCTGGAACACTGGTTCCTCCACAGATAGAGCCCTCATGCTGATTCCCTCTGGTTCTCTAAGCTAACCCATCACAGAGCAATAGCCAATATCCCTTAATAAAAAGCCAAGAGAGCCAGACAGGGTTACACATGCCTTTAATTCAGCACTGGGGGCAGGGGGAACTGATGACTTTTGACTATTTAACTCTCTCTTGCTGTTCTGGGGACAAAAGCTGATAGCTTCTGGCAATTAACTCCTGCTGACAGCAGCTGGGAATTAAGAAAAGAAATTTAGTTACTTAGGCTGTTTGCTATTTGATTCAGGGGCTTCTTGCTGGCCAGACAAGAGGAGTTTGTTACTCTTTGTTAGCCAGAGAATAAGGAACAAAAGGAAAGAAAGGAAAACACACACAGAGACACATGCACACTGGATGATCCAGAAAATGTTACACTGTCACTTTTTTTTTTTTTGTTCTTAGTTTGAATACTTTCTCAGACAAAAATTAACTCATATAATTATTAGGTAGAATTATTACAGCAGGATGATTTATTACATGGTTTTCTAAGCACTTTTACATTTCATAAGTTCAAAGTTATAGTCCATGTCATAGATCAATAAGGCTTAAAGAGTTTCTACAGAATTGTTTACGTCTTCCCATTAAGACTAGTACCTGACTAAATATTCCTTATCTACTTTCTTTTTTTTTTTTTTTTTTTAAAGATTTATTTATTTATTATATATGAGTACACTGTAGCTGTCTTCAGACACACCAGAAGAGGGCATCAGATCTCATTACAGATGGTTGTGAGCCACCATGTGGTTGCTGGGATTTGAACTCAGAACCTCTGGAAGTGCAGTCAGTGTTCTTAACCACTGAGCCATCTCTCCAGCCCCCTCCTTATCTACTTTCTATCTCCACAAGTTCATTATTAATTTAAAACAAGAGTTATTTTTTTAAACCTCTAGAATAGTTATTCTTGTTCGTTTTTTTTTCTGTTCAGGTGTGAATTATATTCCCCTTTCATTAATTTCTTTATTCACCCTATGTCTTAATATCAGCTGCCCCTCTCCTAATCCCCCCTCACACAAATCCTTTCCCCCTTCCCCCCTCCCCTTTTCCTCTGAGAAGGGGGTTCCCCCTGAATATCACCCATCACCCTCTGCACATCATGTCACTGCAGGACTGGGCACTTTGTCTCCCACTGAGGCTGGACAAGGCTGCCCAGTTAGAAGAATGGGATCCACAGGCAGCAGCAGGTTTCAGGGAAAGCCCCTCCTCCACTTGTTGGTGTACCCCCATCAAAATCAATTTATAAATCTGCCACACATGTGGCCAGTGCAGAAGTCCAGCCCATGCTTGCTTCCTGGTTGGTGGTTCAGTCTTTGGGAGCCCCCAAGGGTCCAAGTTAGCTGACTCTGTAGGTCTTCCTGTGGAGTCCTTGTCTTCCGGTCCCTCAATTCTTCACCCAACTCTTCCACATGCCTCCCTGAGCTCCATCCAATGTTTGGCTGTGGGTCTCTAGCTCTCTTTCCATTGGCTACTGGATGGAGTCTCTCAGAGGACAGTTATGCTAGGCTCCTGTCTGCAAGCATAACAGAGTATCATTAATAGTGTCAGGGATTGGTTCTTGCCCTTGGGAAGGGTCTCAATTTGGGGCAGTCACTGGTTGGCCATTCCCTCAGTCTCTGATCTATTTTTGTCCGTGCACATCTTAAGGTCAGGACACATCTGAGTGAGGAAATCCTGACCCAAAAGGACATGCAATTTTCATGCTCTGCTTTCTATCAAATACTAAAGCACGAGAGATACCCTTACCCCCCCCCGCCCCCCCCCCCACCAAACACTACTTTCAAAGATGCCTTTAAGTTTCTGCTTAATTCACCACTGTAGAGATTCGCTTGGCTTCCTTTAATCTTCCCAAACTGTTGATCCTGTTACTATTATCAGTGTGCATGCGTGTGTGTAGTGGGTATGTGCCACGGCATGCATGTGGAAGTCAGAGAACAACTTTGTGGAATCGGTTTTCTCCTGTTCTTATGTGAGTTCCAGGGATGGGATCAGGTCATTGGGCTTATCATCTGAGCCCTCACTGACCCTGCTGATCAGTTGGACAGTTCACCATGTCTTTTGCTCTTATAATGAAAACAACAATGACTGTGTTCTCATGTGAAGCCTCTTGTTTTAGATTCCTAGAAATACAGCTACTAAGCCAAAAGTATGAACTTTTAGGTGAGAATTTTCTTACTATGGTTTGAAGATCCTGCCGGCTTCTCCAACAGCTTGCTTCTATCTTGATAACTTTTCTTTACTCTCTGTATCATGGCAGCTAGTCTCTAGAGTAGGAGTCTGTCCTTAAACATTCTGATCATAGATGCCAGAGCCGTTATGAGAATATCCACACAAATTAAGTCTGACAATAATCCAGCATATATCTTTAATGAAATAAAGCAATTTTTAACATATTTTGATATAAAACATATTACAGGTATACCAAACAATCCTACAGCACAAGGAATTGTGGAAAGATTTAATTGTACTTCAAAAGAGATACTTAAAAACCAGAAAGCAGCAACACAGACCCCCAGAGACAGATTACATAATGTTTATTAACTTTAAATTTTGTAAACTCCAAAGAACAAAAGCAAGAGCGACTGAAACACATTGGGTTATTGAAAACACTGCTGGTCTAAGCCAGTCTGTTCACTCTGAAGCTGTCCTAAGCTCAGAAGGGAAAACAGGAAATTTGTTGTATTGTGGGAGAGGTGATGCCTATGGATTCCTTTCAGGTTGATAAAATCAGATATGACAGAGGGAGACCTCCTCAAGATATTGGGTACAAACAAGGAGATCAAAAAGACCAAGACAGGTAATGTATAAGCTGATTTGTCTATATGGGAACATGCTGAGGGCCAAGACTCCCTTCTGCCTGAGAGCAAATGTCACTTAAGCAAACAGCCTGAGTTAAGGAATACTTTATTGCCCTCCTGCCAGGGAAAAATTATTAATCAGATAAGCAACTCGAGCTGAGAAATGTTTTAATTGCCTTCTTACTTGTGAGAAAATATTTAGATAAGTAATTTGGGCTAGGAATTCTTGTGGGCTTAGAGAACTTTGCAATTACGGGATGACCCTGGACCCTGACTGCTAGATGACCCTCCTGCCTTCCTGTCTTTATAACAGAAACCCGAACAATAAAGTTCAAGCACTTGATCAGACATTCAGACTTGTGCTTTTTCTTTGTGTCTCTTGTCCCATCTCTCACCTCCTCTTCCCTAAGGTCTCGTCGAATCCCTGCGGGCCGGGGCAGGAACAGTCTAAGACTGACTGAGACTTAAATATCCAGGTGTAGCTAATAAATCTTGTTGTTTACAAAGTCCTCAGGACTTATCACACCATTTTATTAAATGGCATAGATGAAAATTTATATTATATTTTGGTTACAGTCTAAACCTGCTTATAAGAAAGACAGATGCCTTTCATCTTCTCAAAGAGCAAAGAATCTTCCTTAACTGAGCTGTGAACCTTTCACTGTATACACACTTGTTAATACAAAACTGTATATCACTTGTGAGAACTTATATCTTCACAGAGAATAACAACCAAAAAGGCAGCCCTGACAAGATTCACCCTCAGGGATGCTGACACACTTGACCCTACCTCAGACTACCTCAATGCTCTTTCCTCAAAAGACTTACTTTCAGGGCACCTTCAAAAAAAAAAAATGAAAGAAAAAAAAAAGAAAAGACTGATGGCCTGAGATGTCCTCAGTTCTTCTAGCCTTACATTCTGATCCGATCAGGACTTCACTTAAGCCTGAACTTTCTCAGTGTTAAGAGACTGGACAACAGTCCAACAATGGTACAGCTAGCTTACTTAAGACTAATTGCTTCCACAGCTTCTTAGTCCCCCCCCAAAATGCTTCACCCCAAATCAGCAGGAAGGGAACCATTCCTAAGAGATGATGTGGATGATTTTTGGGCATTCTATTGGGTGATGAATGCTTGCTGTTATATAGGGGTTGGTTACAAATCTTGCCAAGGAGAAAACAAAGTATAGGAGGTTAGACTCAGGGATTTCTCTCTTTTCTTTTTTTTTCTTATCCTTCTTTCTTTCTTGTGTAAGGGTAAGGGGTTAAAAAGAAAAAGAGTGGAATATAGGAATATTATAGGATAATAGAAAAAAGGGTAGATTATTGATTCTACTTTTTAACCAAAGAATGTTGGAAGCCGACTCCTAGTCGAAAGCGGCTATCATCTTTGCAGCCATCTCGAGCCATATACCCTGACAAGAGACTTGTTTTCAACAGCCTACAACAGCTGAGCACACTCTGATAAAATCTTGTTTTTCTCACATATCTTGTTTTGCTATTTAGCGCCGCCAGCAGCAAGGCACACGTGGTCTCCATGCTGCTAGCTAGGTGCACGTGATATCCACGCTGCAAGGCACATGACGTAGTGTCTTCAGCTGTGCTTGTCCACAAGGGCAAGGCACATGGTAAAGGGTATAAATACCCAGGATTTCCTTTCAATAAGAGAGACTTGATCAAACTCCCTGTCTCATCTCCATTCTTCACGTCTCTCGCCCCCACTCTCTCTCTTGCTAGACCCGGACCCGCGGACCACAGCAGCAGAACGGGCCTTTACAAAGTGACCCCCAAACGTGAGGCAGCTCAGGCGGTTACAAAAGAACATTTTATAGTTAATGTCACATTGGTATAGATCTTTGAATATTGTTATATATTAAGGTTATATTTTGTTACATTGGTACAGATTTTTGAATATTGATACATATTAAGGTTATATTTTGTTACACACATACACATAGTATAGAGCTTTATATATTAGTACAAAAGTTGACATTAGTTTCATTACAACCTACTATATATAGTATATTTCAACTCTGACATAAGGTATTGAACAATTTTTTGATGGTTTAATATAAAGCTCTAGGTTCTTTTAAAGCTGCTATTACAATGTGTTTAGGATATTTAAGAAATACAAGTTGATAGACAGTCAAACTCATGGTCACATTCGATACTAGACCAGTTTATCCTAAAATATTCTTCCTAGGTTGAACAGATTGTAAATAACTAAAAACAAAGTTTGCCTATTCAAATATGCTGTGGATAGATATATGGTCTTCAAAAACTTCAGAGACTTACAGAATATGGCTTTTAAGGATTGTGATGATTTGCATATGCTTCACTCATGGGAAATGACACTACTATGGGGTGTGGCCTGGTTGGAGTAGGTGTGGCCTTGTTGGAAGAAGTGAGTCTTTTTGGGGGTGGACTTTGAGGTCGTATGCTCAGGTTTCACCCAGTGAGGAAGAAAGAAACTCTCTTTTTAGCTGCCTGCAGGAGAATCTACTCTTGGCTAACTTCAGATCAAGATATAGAACATTTGGCCCTCTGCATCAAGTCTGCCTGGACACTACCATGCTTCCTGCCATGATGATAATGGATTGAACTTCTGAAACTGTAAGCCAGCCCCAATTAAATGTTGTCCTTTGTAAGAGTTGCCTTGGTCATGGTGTCTCTTCACAGTGATGAAACTCAAACTAAAGCAAGGGTGTTTAGTTTTTTAAAGATTTTTTTTTTGGGCCGGGCGGTGGTGGCGCACGCCTTTAATCCCAGCACTTGGGAGGCAGAGGCAGGTGGATTTCTGAGTTCGAGGCCAGCCTGGTCTACAGAGTGAGTTCCAGGACAGCCAGGGCTACACAGAGAAACCCTGTCTCGAAAAACCAAAAAAAAAAAAAAAAAAAAAAAAGATTTTTTTTTTTGACATTGAGACATGTCAGCCCCTGACAGCATGCCATTTCACTTGAAGAAGATATGAGCATCAGAAAACCACCATATGGAGTCACTGGGCAAAAGCTGACATTGTTCCAACTGCATAAGAAATGGTGTTCAAAATGGACAAACATGGTGCAGGAAAGTCATCTCCTAAATCCTGCTAAGACAGGATATGCAGGCCTTCATAATTCCTGCTTCATGAAAGGTCTGTCAGACACAGTGGGCTTGAAGCCTGAAGATGAATGCTCCAACGTTACAGAGACACTGGGGATGGGGAGTGTGTTCAGGTAGCCAATGCTGTCTGCCATTTCTATAGTTATGAGCGCTGCTTGCCTGTACTTCCTGTATACTCAGGTCTCAGATGGGGTTGAAGACTACATAGTCATAGTCTCACAATCAAATTTAAGTTTTTAGGATTTAAGAAGATGTTTGTAAGTCTAAAAAAACGCTTTTAAATTAATAATACAAATTACAATAGAAAATGACTTAGGTACAACACTCTAAACTCGGCGAGACAGGATGGACAATACTCATCCAAATACTTATCCAATACCTTATCCAAAGTTGCCAAATCCAGATTGGACTGGACTTTATGAATATAACTTTTATGTAATAGTTTTCATAACTGCTTCATATCTGTTCCTACTGTATGCTATTTATTATTGTAAATGCCTATTATTGTATTGCCTTTTTATTTGGAAAAAAAGGGGAAATGTTGTGAGTTGGTCTGGTGTTGCTATGTGTTCAAATGCTAAATACTGAACCACAAGATCTGGTTGCTCTGACAA